CCCAAGAAGGCCAAGGCCGCCAAGCCCAAGAAGCCGGCGAAGAGCCCGGCCAAGGCCAAAGCCGCCAAGCCCAAGGCCCCGAAGCCGAAAGCTGCCAAGCCCAAGAAGGCGGCCCCCAAGAAGTGAGAACCCGACTGACTCCGTGAATACAAAGGCTCTTTTCAGAGCCACCACGTCATCCGACAAAGAGCTGGTGACACCACATTCCCTGGATGGGGGGGTGGAGGCGGCGGACCTGAGGCTGTTCTTACACGTTACGCTGGTGCTTGGTGGTCTGTGTGCTAAGAGTAAGTACACGTTTACTTTCCCAGTGAAGGGTTTGGCGCGCTGAAGTGCTTTGGGGTTCAGGTTGGGCAGTGCTCGCTTTTCCTGGGCTCCACTTTTTGCCCTTGACCCAGCCACGTATCCAGAGAGGACTTTATTGCTTAATAGTCGGTGATACCATGTAAGAACTTGTGAATAAAAAGTACAGAAACTTGCATGCACTTAAAGAAAAAAAAGCTGTTGTGAAAATTAAAATCTCATTTCCTCACTACAGGTTTCAGCGTGTGTTTTTTTCCGACTTGTATTTCCTGGCGTTGAGCCTTAAAGTGAAACCTTATAACCCTTTTCATACACACGTTGAAGTCTCATTTCACCAGTCTTGCTTCGGGGTGAAAACGGTGCGCTAAGCTACTTTGACTCTATGCCCTGAGCGACTTCCTACCTGTTGTTTACCAATTGCCCGAGGCTAGGAGCTCTCCCTTTGCTGATTATGCAAAATTACACTCACGCCTCGCCTGGAGGCGTTTGGGTTTGCTTGTCAAGTGTCCCAAAGAGTGAGGATTTACACAGCACTTAGAGAGGATTTCGGCTACATCTGATAAATATGGTAGAAAAAACCTTTATCAAACATAAGTTACCTTAAAATTACGAGCTGATTAAGCCGAGTCCCTGAAGGTGACTAAGTCCCACCCTTTTGCCTACAGCACTTCTAATTGAAGTTGTGGGTGGCTCTGAAAAGAGCCTTTGGGTTTTCGTTGAGCTTTGGGTAACAGTTACGCCCTCTCGCCGCGGATGCGGCGCGCGAGCTGGATGTCCTTGGGCATGATGGTGACGCGCTTGGCGTGGATGGCGCACAGGTTGGTGTCCTCGAACAGCCCCACCAGGTAGGCCTCGCACGCCTCCTGCAGCGCCATGACGGCCGAGCTCTGGAAGCGCAGGTCGGTCTTGAAGTCCTGCGCGATCTCGCGCACCAGGCGCTGGAAGGGCAGCTTGCGGATCAGCAGCTCCGTGGACTTCTGGTAGCGCCGGATCTCGCGCAGGGCCACGGTGCCGGGCCGGTAGCGGTGCGGCTTCTTCACGCCGCCCGTGGCCGGCGCGCTCTTGCGGGCGGCCTTGGTGGCCAGCTGCTTGCGGGGCGCCTTCCCGCCCGTCGACTTGCGCGCCGTCTGCTTGGTACGAGCCATTGCAAAGCAAGGAGAGGACAAGCTGGGGATGAAGGGGAGAGTGGGAGCTCAACCAGTATATATAAGGCCAGTCCCGCTCTGATTGGACCAGCTATCTGTCCATCAAGCCTCAGTGTAAAGTTATTGCTAGCGGCGATCATTTCCGGATAGGTGGGACTTCCGGTGGCTTAAGACCGAAAATTAACTTTTTCCTCCCAAGCACCCTTTCAGAAGGGGTTTTCTATCTACCGTTTTTCGCCTCTATCGTCCTTAAACCGTCACTTTCCCAATATTGTGGCTTTATCCCCGCACAAATTATCACAGACGTGTGTTGTTCGCTTGATAAGAATTGTAAATTTTGGCGCTTAAACTGCCTTTCCTGTGTTCCTTTTGAAAAGGCGCGCGCAAAATGTGATTGGCTAAGTGACTTGTTTTTGCCTGATTCAAGTTTAGGAAGACGGATTTCAATATAAATTTCTTGATTTCCCCATATGACCTTAGACTTTCCCTCTCCCCACCCCCAACTTGGAGATTTTTAAGTGTTCTGTTTTCATATACTTTCCCTAAATGCAACAAGACCATTAATTGAAGTGATTTTATTTTCTGTTGTAACTACATTACTACATGTATTCCCTATTAATCAGCATCCTCACAGAAAGCATGCCACTAAGTTTGACACTTTTACCTGATGACTGTGTAAAATGTTTACAAAATACTCAAGTTTTTGAATGTTGCAAAGATTACTAAGCCTTTTTACAGTAACGCTGAAGCCTGTGCTAAGTTCTGCCTAAGGTCACGAGGGTGGAGGCGGGAAGAGGATAGGTGTAACAGCATAAACAAAACTGAAAAATAAACTAAGGGGCATGACTGCGGGCACATAAAGTATTGTTTCCTATTTGCAAACGGTTAAGGCGCAGCAGTGTTGCAGACCGACTTACAGGTGATTTGTCCTATTAAAATGCAAAACTACCAGACAAGAGACTGAAAAGGTGGTTTATTGCGGCAGGTCATTAACTACATTTGCATTTAAACAGTCACCTTTGACCAAACATCCTCTTTATATACAATGTATTTCTTATCTTAACCTTGAGGTATTGCTACAGCAATCGCCTTAATTACCTGAAACCAAACACCTTTTGTTTCTATTTGGCTGAAAACTTTTCCTTTTAATGTATCTTTTCAGATGTTAATTTCGCTCTTATGGGTGTTTACTGACATCTACTGACCAAACACGGTAAAAACCATTTCCAAGCAGCTGCTTATGGAAAAGATAAATGCAAGCCCTTTCAGTGCGAAGGTGGGTGGCTCTGAAAAGAGCCTTTGGTTTAGTTGTTTGCGTTGTTGCCAAAGGAACGCAGGGTCCTCACTTGCCCTTGGCCTTGTGGTGGCTCTCGGTCTTCTTGGGCAGCAGCACGGCCTGGATGTTGGGCAGCACGCCGCCCTGCGCGATGGTCACCTTGCCCAGCAGCTTGTTGAGCTCCTCGTCGTTGCGGATGGCCAGCTGCAGGTGGCGCGGGATGATGCGCGTCTTCTTGTTGTCGCGCGCCGCGTTGCCCGCCAGCTCCAGGATCTCGGCCGTCAGGTACTCCAGCACGGCCGCCAGGTACACGGGCGCGCCCGCCCCGACGCGCTCGGCCCACGGGGAACTGCAGCCCGGCCCGCGAGGACCGCGTCTTGGCCTTGGCGCGCGCCTTGCCGCCCTGCTTCCCGCGGCCGGACATTCTGGCTACAAACTAGACATGTTGAACTTAATGTGTCAAAAAAAGCAAACAGCAAAGTGAAACTGCAGCGGTGCCACTTTTTATAAACATGTCTGGGCGCGAAAAAGAAGTTGTGTCATTGGCTAAATCTGCAGCTCTATTTGGCATTCTGATTGGCAGTCCTCATGACGTCACTCTGAATATGTACGAATTACACACAGGAATTTAACACCTTATTTGCATACCACTTCGTATATAAGGCAGATAAGTCAAGTTCTCCTCTATCTACTGCATTCTGTAGCTGAACCAGTCCGGTGAGCTCCCGACCATGCCGGAGCCCGCCAAGTCGGCGCCCGCCCCGAAGAAGGGCTCCAAGAAGGCCGTGACCAAGGCGCAGAAGAAGGACGGCAAGAAGCGCAAGCGCAGCCGCAAGGAGAGCTACTCGGTGTACGTGTACAAGGTGCTCAAGCAGGTGCATCCCGACACCGGCATCTCGTCCAAGGCCATGGGCATCATGAACTCGTTCGTCAACGACATCTTCGAGCGCATCGCGGGCGAGGCGTCGCGCCTGGCGCATTACAACAAGCGCTCGACCATCACGTCCCGCGAGATCCAGACGGCCGTGCGCCTGCTGCTGCCCGGCGAGCTGGCCAAGCACGCCGTGTCCGAGGGCACCAAGGCCGTCACCAAGTACACCAGCTCCAAGTAGGCGCGAGCCCGCGGCCTCACTCCCGACCCAAAGGCTCTTTTCAGAGCCACCCACGTTTTCCCATAGAGAGCTGTGCACTGGCCAGTCCAAGTCTTGAGCATTCTTGCCAACACTCGGGAGGGGATCCCAGAGTCCCCAGGTGGTAGGTGCAGGGCACCTCTCGGGACAATAGTGCCCAGTACGAGGCTCCCATGAGTGTATGTGAGCGTGCACTGAAACCCATGTATGTCTCACTATCTAATCCCAAGCTGCTTGTCACCATTTTTTAACGTTTTTGCAGGGACTGTGTGGGCTAGAGAAGACGCTTTCTAAAGCTTCCAAATCGACCCTGAAATGTCTGGTCTGTTTTCAGTAAAGCGTCCCCCAAAGCGCCTCACTGGCAGCCTCCACGAGCGTCCTCTAGGTGTCGCTGTGGCTCTGCGCCCGCCTTCCTTTGTGTGGCTCCAATGACTTCCCCATCCCCCGCCCTGTGCCCGCGGCCTTTAGAGTCCTTGCTAAGCGTCTTATCTAAGGGTGTGGACGCCTAACTCAGGGTTCTTTTCAGGGCCGCTTACACTCTCAGCAAAAGAATTGCATGCCTTTCTGTTCCAAGCACAATGACTCCTGAATTTGCTGGGCCTTTGTCCGTTCTAGGAAGACCTGTATGGGAGCCCCGTGTACTCAGTACGTAGCCTGTTCCTCTGCCTCGAGTGCTCCCGGGACTTGCTGTTTTGAGGGCAAACAGGCTGGAGTTGTGCACACCACACTCATTGGCAGTCGCTTCTAGGCACAGCTAGCGGGGCTGGCAGGGGGCAGGTACAAGGGGGCGCCCTAGTTTGCTTCTGTGTCAGCTCCGGTCTTACCTTCTGGGGCAACTGTAACCAGACAACCACGGGATCCATCTGGGCTGGGGGTCACTTCTTCTGCGCATTAAGCAGAGACGGGGTTGAATCCCATATGAGCGTTTATTCCAATCCTGCCGGCAGCAGGGAGACCAGCAGGCCACCCACAGACATTGCAAAACCAAACAAATAACTCAAGCCAGTGTGACTGAATAAATCCTGAGCTTCAGTACAGATGGCTGTTTTCACTGTAGTGCCGCGCGACGCATGTGCAGCAGGGAAACGGGAGGGTAGAGTCTGCAGTCAGGCCTTCAGGAGTTCACAGCCTGATAAGGTGTCTAATCGGTGATGTCACAAACAGCTCAGCCTGTTCCTGGGCCCAGAGAATGGTCAGCGCTCCTGAGAAACACTCCGGGAGGGGGCCAGGGTCCCCGCACAGGCACCCAGTCCAAGCGTGTCCTGTCCTTGGTCTGTTTTCCCATGTGTCTGTTTTCTGAGTCATGGACCCATGGCGGCATCTTATCTTTTTCCAGCCTCCGGGGTCCCGGGGTCTGTAAGAGAACTTCTCACCATAGTTAGTGAGGAGAATTATTAGACAATGGCGGCTCCATTCTTATACATGCCCTCCCCTCTATCACAACTGGTTCCAGTTCCTGGCTTTGCCCCCGCTCCCCACCCCCAGTCTGGGTTCTAGGCTTCCAGATCAACCTGCTCCCAAGATCTGAGCCTTATCTCCACCGGGACTCCCCTCCAGATGTCTAGACTGTAATAACTGACGTGTACGTGCACTCTGAGCCCTGCTCTGGCTCCTGCTTCCTTCCCTTGTCCTTGGCACACCAGTTCTCTCTTGCTTTTCAGTTTCCCAAAACCTGTGTCACGTTTATTAAATTATCTTTGTAAAAATAACCCGTCCTTTTCTGTTTTCCGGACACCAGGGCACCTCCCGCCCTGGCTGTAAAGGACTGGTTCTATGTTACACTTTAAAGACTATGCTTAGGGGGCCCCTCTCAGCCTCAGGCACGTTGGTCACCCTGGAAGACATGGTCCTTGCTCTGGAGGGGGCCTGTGGGGAGGGTTATCACCCTCAGCTCCCGGGACCCAGAGGGAAGTGCAGGCTGCAGGCCCACCTCGGAGCCTAGCCAAGCTTCCCTGTTGGGCGACTCAGGAAACATGAAAGATGAATTGGGACACACACACCAAGAAAACAGGTAGCGGGTGCTGGGGAGAGGAGAAACCCTATGGAAAGGTACTTCCCAAGGTGCCAGGAAATCCGTAGATCTCTGTAAAAGTGTTTTTTAATTCTATGTGGACGTCTTTGGAAGGCCACAGCATCAGAAGACTGGGGTTGGAACTTGAGTTCTGCCAGGTCCATGAAATTGGGTTCTCACACCCTCGGTTGTTTTACTTATTGTTAGGTCTGATCAACTCATTGAATCCATACCCCTCCTCTAGGAACTGGCCTTGAGATGAATTCACAACCCACATTCCCTTTCTCTTACACCACAGTCCACTTGCTAAGACCATTACCTTTCCCCTCTAGAGAATTCGCCCAGAGAATTCTCCGCCTAGAAAAAGCCCTAGAGTCCATTAAAATCTCTGACAATCCCCTACCCCATCCCTGGGTGCTGACACCACTTAGGGGCTCAGCCCATCTGCTATCCAGATGGCCTCATAAGCTATATTCCCTTACCACTCTGGCCTCCTGCGTTCCTCCTTTGGCGACCCTAACACTTATAAAATGAAAATATTCCTAAAATCTACTTCGCTGCTACTTGTTAAAACACATGAAATCATTATCATACATTTAAATATTTTAGGGAGATTTACAGTTCACGAAGTTATTTATGGACATTTTACCATGACTCCTATAGTTTGTCTATAATGAAGACCAGCTTTTTGAAGTAGTAGTATAAGCAGAAGTAATACTGCAGTAGATGAAGTACTTCTCCATACAATTAGACTTCTGCTGCTATCTTCAGACATTGTAGGCTCCCATATAAAAGAAAATGCAGGTTGCTGCTGTTCAAATAAGATCAATTTCAAAATCATGAGAGCCTGAAATATTTATAGTTTACAGGCATCTATATTGATTTTTATAATAGTTATAGGTATAAATTTATAATCTTAAAGACATCACTGAACACATTAGGCAATACTTACTAAATGTATGTAAGGGCATTCCTTTTCTATTATCGGTCAATGAATTATCACAATCTTGGTGAAATACACACTTAAAACTTTATAGTTGTGTAGATCAGCATTTGCACCTGGGTGTCCTTGAGCTAAAACCAAGGTGTCGGGGGCTGCGTTCCTTTGTGGGGCTGCAAACGACACTGTTTGCTCCCCATTCCAGCTCTTGGAGGGCTCCCTCCCCCCGAGCTCTTTATTTTCAAAGCAGGTCTCTGGGCAAATCCTCCTCTGGCTGCCACCTGACTAGTTCAGCACTCCGACTGCCTCACTGGGATCACCTGGAGCATCTCATTTTAAATTACAGGGAATTCTCGGCTACCGGTTTCAGCTACAGCAGCAGGGCCTTTGTCAGGTAGCCTAGCCCATCACAGAATCCAAAGCGTAGGCGGTGGATACACCAGGCAGCACGTTCTGCCTGGCACCCTGCATTACAGCACCTTTAGAATTGGAAACAAAGCCACAGTCAGTTCCTCTTCTGGTCAGCGTGGGGGATGGGGAAGGGGAAGAACAGGTCCGTAGATGCACTATTGTAAACACTTTCAGGGAATTCGTGAACTAACCTGGAGCCAATGAAACCCTTTTCAACTTTCATGCTCATTAACCATCCTGCACGTGTTGTCTTGGGAAGTTATGTTGCTTTAAGCAAACACAGCCACTGGGACTAGGATGAAGCTCTT